AAGGACCTTCTCTTGTCAGTCTGAGATCAAATCTCAACTACAACCTTGCCTTCACTAATCAGGACTCCTGTATTCAATTTCTCAAAATGAGGATCTCCGCTCAGCTCCCGGGGCTACTGATGCTCTGGATGCCTGGTAAGCACAAAAAGAGATGAGTGTGGAGCATGGGGTGGAAGGATGAGCTCTGGGACTCCACAGTGTCCCATGCTTATTCTGACCAAGTGTTAGAGGTGTATGGCTTATGTTTCAGGGAAGGGAATTTATAATTTGCCCTGTGAATAATTAGAAACCATCTGAAAGGAACAACGACCAGTACTCTGAATACTATCTTGAAAAATAAAAGGATCTCTTGTACCTAGTAAATAATGGGCTCATTGTTAAAAGTTTATTTTTTGTGATGTGAATCAAAATTATTTTTAAAAAAATAAATCAATATTATAAGCAAAATGTTTTTAAGCTCATAATGTTTTTACACAACTTTGTACTTTTCTCTCATTGATTCAGGATCCAGTGGGGACATTGTGATGACCCAGACTCCACTCTCCCTGCCTGTCATCCCTGGAGAGCCGGCCTCCATCTCCTGCAGGTCTAGTCAGAGCCTCCTGCGTAGTGATGGGTACACCTATTTGCATTGGTACCTGCAGAAGCCAGGCCAGTCTCCACAGCTCCTGATCTATTTGGGTTCCAACTGTGCCTCTGGAGTCCCAGACAGGTTCAGTGGCAGTGGGTCAGGCACTGATTTCACACTGAAAATCAGCAGAGTAGAGGCTGAGGATATTGGCATTTATTACCGCATGCAAAATCTACAAATTCCTTCCACAGTGCTACATCCTCAAAAAGAAACCTCCCTGCTGGGGTTGCCCAGCTGCTCACATGCACCGCTTTTCTGGGTAGGAGCTCAGCTGGGTCTCTGCGTTTGTAGAAGAGGAGGCTGTTGGTGAACTCAGGGTCAGAGTTTGCTGCTAATGACTCTGGCCCATGAATCCTCAATTGTACCTTAATCTCATATGTTAAGGCCCCATCAGCTGCCATCACCTGGGAATGACATCAGCAGTAGGAGAATTCAGTTGGCCACATGCCCTGTGAGCAAGCAACTATGACGAAAAAATAATGAATAAAATCTTATCCTCACCCTCCCTGTCTTGCCCACATTTTTCAAATACATTTGGTTGGCAGAACAACGAGTCCATGGATGCAGATTAGTGACAACACAAGGGGAACACATTTTGGAAATTGCCAGTTTAGGGCGTAATACTTGGTCATATTGAGATACTGTTTTTATCCCACTTTACCAAAAACTTTGTATCTCTTTTATCAATTATAAACTACACTGCCCTCTCCAGTGTCATGCTGAGAAAGCATTCTACACAAGCTGTCCTCAGGGTAGGATAGCTAAGAATAATTAGTAAAAATGTTTGATTTTTGGCTATTCATAGACTTTGTAAATTGACGGCAGATATAAGACTCTAATGCCAAAATATTTTAATTTTCCTCAATTACCTTCTTTCCAGTGAAACAAAGTTCTTGCAATTCCAAAAGTGAGTTTTGAACATAAATAGCATATTCAAAGATGTAGAACACAGACTTTACTAAATGTAATAATGTATCATGTTTTTCTTCTTCACCCCAATTTTAAGAATTTCAAAAGTATTTAACCTAAGTGCTATTTTAGAGATGACACATCATTTACTATGATGCTCTCATAAGAAAATATTTCAAATAATACAAAAATATTTTATCTTCATATTACTTCATCATTACCAGAAAATGAACAGAAATCCTTTCTTTTAGTTGTAAAAGCACAAAAAACTTATGCTTTCAATTGATTCCACTGAAAATAGTGTCCTGAAGTTCTATCAAAATTAATGATGAGTCATGTCAGTTACATGACAGAACATGGTGTGACAGAAACAAAAGAATGATTGAAGCAACAGAATAAGAAGCTCCTGCTTCAGGCGTAGGGTTTAAAGTGTATTTGAGATGATTTTTAACTCCAAGATAATGAATTTCATGGCAAGCGCAATTAAAATTTCAGTGTCATTTTTGTTAAATTTAAAACGTGTGTGGATAAATTTATATAGAAATCAATCAAACTGGAGTAATCAAATTAAAAAGCACAACACATAATACGCTATTTAAAAGTACTACTAAATGCAACATGGAGCTTAAAAGATGTGAAGTATTACAGAATGCAGTGGGAGACAACAAAGTGTGAGTAGCTAGAGCAGGAGGTGAGCAGCCATCGTCATCGTTAGCCCTCATGTGATTGACAGCACCTAGTCACTATAGAATCTGCTTTGATGTGAGACAGGGAATAAGTTCTAAAACCACTCCAAGGTGGTTGGATACACTTAAAAAATGAACAAGCTCAAAATTTGCATGATGGTGATACCCCAAGGGGCTACACTCTTAAATCAAAGTGTTGAAAATAAATGATTCCAAAAACTGAAAGTGGACACCAAGCAGAATCAGAAGACAATCAAATTGCCAATTACAAAGCAGCCTCAAGATATGGTGGACTAAATATGACAAGGTTTCTGTGTCTGTGACATGGCAAGTCAGAAACAGTCAGGTGGCCTTGATGGTGTAGGTAGCTCTGCTTCATGAGGCCACTCAGGTGGGCAGGAGGCACGACCACTCTCAGAGCACAGCCACCCTCCTTCCTCACAGTGGCCGCCCCGATGCCCATCCTCAGCAGCAAGAGTGGAACAGAGTGGAGAGAACTCTGTTTTCTTCTAAAGATAAAAGAAAATTTCCATCAAATTTAACAGCAGATAGATTTGAGGGGACACAGTGAAACCATAGCACTGACTGATGGAAGGCTCATTCCAAGCCCTGTGGTCTGCCATGCATGCAGGCAGAGCTGCCTTTCTCAGACACAGCAGTGAGGGGCAGAGATGGCCATGGGGAATCAGCAGAAGCACACTGAAAGGGAAAGGTCTGGGTGCAGACACAGACTGATGCATCCATCCAGAAAAAAGCACCTGTATCTTCCACCCGGAGCTGCATCCCTCTGGAATGATGTTTCTTGGCAGGTCAGTTGCAAGTCAAGGAACCTGGGAAATAACATCTCCAGATGTGCTGCATTTGTGTAATGTTTATTTTAAACTGAAAGCATTTAGAAAACATCAATTGGACAAAGTCTCTTTTACTCCAGAAGGAATCCAATTGTCATGAAAACCCTCCCTGGGAATGTTGATCTGTCAGGAAATATTAACATGCACTAGGAGTTAAATTCAAAAGAGATTGGAAGTTGACTTCATCCAGACAGGGTATTACCTATTTTTTTGAGGACTCATTTATTTTATTTTATATCATTTACTCTCCCTAGGTTGCTTACAGTCCCCACCTCCCTCTCCCCTATGAAGGGTGTATAAACACCTGGATCTCACTGGGTTTTCTGGGTAATCACTCTCCTTTGATATTTCCTCTGCATGTTAAATAAATTTGTTTGCCTTTTTCTCCTATTATTTATCTTGTGTCCATTCATTTTAAGCAAACCTTTAGAGGGCAAAATCAAATTTTCACATTTCACCCTATACAAGCAAGTTTCCTTAAAATTCAGGCCCCTGAATGGGCAGCAGGAGAGTGTGTGCAGATGCTACACCAGAGTCATTTGGCCACTCCTACTCAGGCATCAGTAATACTCCCCAGAACCCCAGGCTGCAGCCCACTGATGCTGATGTAGGTGGATTCACTTCCCCTGCTGCTGAACCAGGCTGAGATGATGTGAGATATAATGGGTCCAAATCTGTGTCCAGTTTTATCCAAATCCAAGTGATTTCTCCATATACATGGGCATTTGCTTGATAGGAGATGGAGACTCTCTGTCCTGGATGTCAGACAGGAGGCTGGCATCTTGGTCAGAATGTCCCCACTTACTGCTAAACAGTGAAAGAGGAAAGTGCCTTTGATAGCGCAAGGCAGGGACATGCACTGAGCAGCAGCTGCCCTCACTAGGAGAGAGGGTTCACTGTACTGATCTTTCCCAAGTTCTCTCCTTCACGTGCTCTCCAGAAATCCAGGCTCCAGAGCCCCCAGAAACATGCTGGTGAGCAGTGCCGCTCAGAGCATTACTCAGTGGATATAATACTGGTCTTTTTATTTTAGAGACAATGGATCCTTAGATAATTTCAAGTTTATCTTAATCCATGGTCCTATAGTTGGGTGAAGAAACAAGTAACTTTTTTTTGAAGTAATCAGATCTGGCATCACTAGTGAGCCCTTTCTTCTTATAAACCCTGGGAAAAATATCCGATGACAGAAAAGGAGGTATAATAGAGAGATCCCCAAAGCAAAAATAAGATTCAGCTCGTATAATGTTTGGGCTTTACTGAGGCCTATAAGTTTGCATAATGGTGGAACTGTGAGTGATACATGCTTTGAGGACTTATAGCACCATCTTTGTGCACCTGCAGTGAATTGCTTGACCTTGTACTGATAATAAGAATGGCTTAAGGTTATTATAAAATACTTACAAATGTACTTAGCATTATCTCAATACATATTTTTCTTCATTTTTTTAAGAAGGAATAAATTTACACTCACAGAAATGTTGTAAGCATAGCACAAAGTACCCCCTTCCCTTTCAGAGTGTTTTGAAGACACGCTGATTCCACACTCTAAAAACTTTACTTTGAGTTTCCTACAGAGAAGAATATTTTCCCAAATAATCCCCATATGCCAACGGAATGCATTACTCCTTCAAGTACTCAGCAGTGTTTCAAATTTTGACAATTATCAAAAAATGTTCTTTGTTACAAATGGGCCCCCAGGAAGAAACAGATTAAAGACAAATCTGGGTTGCCCTGGTCTGACCTGAGACCCTGGGGACACTGTCCCTGTGCTGAGTTACTGAGATGAGCCAGCCCTGTAGCTGTGCCCAGTGGGTCCCATCCCCTTCTGATTCGCATGTTCCCAGAGCACAGCCCCCTGCCCTGAAGACTTCTTAATAGGTTGATCACACTCTGTGCAGGAGTCAGTCTCAGTCAGGACACAGAATGGACGTGGGAGTCCCTACTCAGCTCCTGGGGCTCCTGCTGCTCTGACTCTGAGGTAAGGAAGGAGAACTCTGGGAGTTTACTCAGCCACTGTGTTCAGGACTGGCTGGATTTTTGGGGAGGGCTTCTTATAACATGATTGATTGTGTGGATGTTTGTTTTTATGTTTCCAAACTCAGGTGCCAGATGTGACATCCAGATGACCCAGTCTCCATCCTCCCTGTCTGCATCTGTAGGAGACAGAGTCACCATCACTTGCCGGGCAAGTCAGGGCATTAACAAGGAGTTAGCCTGGTATCAGCAGAAACCAGGGAAAGCCCCTATGCTCCTGCTCTATTCTGGATCCAGTTTGCATACAGGGGTCCCATCTCAGTTCAGCGGCAGTGGATCTGGGACAGATTTCACTCTCACCATCAGCAGCCTGCAGCCTGAAGATGTTGCAACTTATTACTGTCGACAGGATTATACTACTCCGTCCACAGTGTTACAAGCCATAAAAAAAAAAAAACCCCAGAGAAGCAGATGTGTGAGTCCGCATTGCCCTAGTTACTCCTCCTGGTGCCTCCATCTGCTGAGAACATTTCCCAAATAGCATCCACACTTTGAAGGTCATTGGAAAGTTTTTGTACAAGGTACACTGAAGCCTCTTCTTTAACTTAACTGTCTTTCCTTCTCCTCATCCCCAGCAGCACAGGCATGGCAAAGCCTCTTCTGATTGCATTACGAACAGAGATGATTACTCCTGAGAAGTCTGAGTTGTAGTGTGAATTGGAATTAACATCATAAAGGAGACAGGACTCTTGGGATTCCAGGTAATATTTTTTCTCAATACAGGAAATGGGAATCTAAACTATAGTTTTTAAAGTCTTGGGGGCATGGGAGTAAAGATGCAAATACTAAAAAAGAAGGATTCTCTGGATCTTGCCATGAATCCAGAGTGCATCTGTCACAGAAGGTATAACTGCCAACCACATGGTCCTCAGACATATCTGGGAAGCCCAGGTTTGGGGCTGCTGATGGTCTCTGACTGGAGAACCTGCCTGATTTTCTAAGGCACCTACTTACAGTTGACCAGAAAGGGTCCTATTGTAAAGAGACCTAGCAAAAGAGAATGATCAGAGTAAAAGGTCAATTTCTTCCAGTGCCCGCCTGGTCCCGTTTTCCCTCAACCCTCCCTGTTACTTATACAAACCCTTTCATTGCTCTGTCCACTGACTCACGGGGCTCCAGACTCTCTGGTTTCCTGGTTCTGCCCTAAACAAGCCTCACACTGCCACGTCCTTGGATCTCTAATCTCATTGCTTTCTCAGTGGTGATGTTTTTCCCCAGACCTTTCATGGACTTCATCCCTCACTCCCAAAGCCAACCCAGAGCTTCTCATCTTAATGATCCCTCTGAATGTGTTCATAAGACACTCTACTCCACACTTCTGTCTGAAGCACTTTTCACGTTCTGACTCATGATGTAATTTATTTCCTTATGATTTTACACTTGATAGGCTGACTCCCTCTAGTGGAATTTAAGCTTCATGGGGTCAGGGGCCATTGTCTATTATTTGCATTGCTGTATCCCAGTGTAATGGGAGCACCCGGAAGACAATAGGTGCTCAGTGGGGGGCCACTCTTCCCAGGAGTCTACGTGTCTAGAAGTCTGGGAGGACTGTAAAGAGTGGATTAAACTGTTTCTTACATGGACAATGTTCCCTTTTCCTTTTTTCATTCCTTTTTCATACTCAGTCTTTAGGAAATAAGGAAAATTACAATTCTCAGAACTTATGTAATTTGTCTCAAGTGATGTTTTAGGTTGTATTTCCTAAAAACATACAATAATAAAATAACATTATGGTACTCAATTGATTACATTATATTTCATATATAATGATATATAATGTATGCTACATAAGTTATAACTACAGTAAATTCATTGACTTCCCATTTAAAAGACAAAAGTTATCAGATTATATCAGGAGTCAGATAATTGATATTTCAGTTTTGTTAGCCAAGAAAGAAAACTGAATACATTACCTAGATATTTAAATAAGAAAGAAAACAAATTTCTGCAATTGTTATTAATAATTTTAAATGGAATGTAATTCAAAGAGCTTCTCAGCCTGTTCAGGAGAACCTCACTCACCACTACTTGTTCACAATTCTGAGGAAAACAAGAAAACACCAGATAAGATTCTCATTTCCATCAGTGGTGTGAAGAGAGGTTTTCAAAACTGTTAAAGGGAAAAGAGTCTGAGTCTGGGTGAATGGCTGTGTTGTGCAGAATGGAGTGCTCTAGAGAAGAGAAGATGCCACCCCCAATTTTTCCTGGCCAGCAGGACAGCACCATCATCACTCTGCAAGGAGTGGAATCACACACTGAAGAGTCTGAGCCTGGAGTCTGCTTATCTTTGCAGCTGTTGTCACTCATTCACACACAGTGCTTGGCCTAATAAAGTGATGTCCTTTTCTAGTTCTTCCAAAGAACGGAAAAATGTTCAGGGCTCATAGAAAAGATGTCTAAGCTGCAAAGGAGAAGTGTGTATAGAAAATGAATTTCTGATCAATGACTTCAGGCAGGTACAATCATGCAGCCAGGAAAATGACTGTGCATGTTGGGGGAAGAAAGAGAAAAAGAAACCACAGATTTTTATTTTTTTTCTCCCAGGAGGTTTGTACTAAACACCATCTGTCTGAGCCTAGGTAACTGGTGAGGTAGGAGGACAGGGATTAAATTGTGTGTCCAGAGGGGAAAAGGTCTACCCCCATTCTGAGCCAATAGCTTTCTGACCTGACCACCTAGGCAGGGGCTTCTCAGTGCAAAGAAGAGGAGGTAGGTGGTCTCTGCAAAAGCACAGCACTTTCCATGCTTCTTTGCATGCTCCTCCTAGCCATGCTGCTGTTCAGCGCTCATATCAATGTCTGGGTCAGAACTCAGGGGAAGAATGGCTCAGTTAGGACCCAGAAAGACTCACGGAAGCCCCAGTTCATCTTCTCTGCCTTCTGTACTCCAGCTCCTAAGTGAGGGGAAGGGTAGATAGCTCTGCACTGAAACTCAACCTTGTTGGTTCCTCCGACCTGGCATCCCTGCTGAGCAAGAACAGTAATTACAATTCAATGTAAATCAGTGATTGTGGCTATACTATGAGGATGGTGCACTTCATGCAGTTTATGTGGGTGGCTTTCCTGTTTTATTCCTATCACAGGTCCTCCAGAGAAGTTATGTTGATGCAGTCAACTGACTCCTTGTCTTCATCTTCAGGGAACAGAGACTTCCTCATGTGTGTGTGCAGTCAGAACACTGGGAACTCTTTAGCTTGGTATCAGTAGAAACCTGGGAAGGCCCCCTGGTTCCTCATCTATGGTAGATACAACAGGGCCACTACCATCCCAGAGGGGTTTAGTGATCATGGGTCAGAGACAGACTTTAGTGTCACAATCAGCTGCCTGGAGCCTGAAGATTTTGCACTGCTTTGTCTTCTTTGATCTTTGTTGGTTTAAAATCTGTTTTGTCAGAAACTGGAATCTCTACTTTTTTTGTTTTCCATTTCCTTGGTAGATTTTTCTCCATTTCTTTATTTTGAGCCTATATGTGTCATTTGTCATTGCATGTGACATGGATCTCTTGAAACAGCATACCAATGAATCTTAGTTCTTTTCCCAGCTTTCCACACTATGTCTTTTAATTGGAGCACTTACCCCATTTACATCTAAGGTTAGTGTGAATATGTGTGGATTTGATCCTGTCATCATGTTAGCTGGTTATTTCACAGACTTGTTTATGTGGTTGTTTTATTGCGTCACTTGTCTGAGTACTTCAGTGTGTTTTTGTAGTGGCTAGTAATGGTCTTTCCTTTCCATATTTAGTGGTTCCTTCAGGAACTCTTGTAAGGCAGGTTTAGCGGTGATGTATTCCCTCAGCATTTGCTTGTCTTAAAAGGATCTTATTTGTCCTCACTTATGAAGCTTAGTTTGACCAGATATAAAATTCTGGGTTGGAGCTTCTTTTCTTTGAGAGTATTGAATATTGACCCACAGTCTCTTCCAGTTTGTAGGATTTCTGCTGAGAGCTCCACTGTTAGTCTGGTGGGCTTTTATTGGTGTGAGAGCTGGCCTTTCTCTCTAGCTGCCTTTAAGGTGCCACCTTGGAAACAGGAGCAGCCCTCACCAAACACTGAGATTGCCAGTGGCTTTAGCCTGCACTTTCCAGTGTCCAGAACTGTGAGAAAATAAATTTGTGTTGTTAATTAACACCCAGTTTAATGTGCTTTTTTTTCAAGTGTTTTGAGAAAATCGTAGAACTTTTATTGTAAATTGAGTGACTATATATATATGCAGAACTGGTTTCAGATTCTCTAACTCATTGTACTATGTTATCTGTCTCATCCTTCACTAAAACAATAAATTAAAAAAAATTTTTTTATTTAATTAATTTAGTATTTTTTGAGACAAGGTCTTGCTTTGTTGCCTAAACTGGAGTGCAGTGCTGCAATCTCAGCTCACTGGACCCTCTGTGTCCCAGGCTCAAGGGATCTTCTTACCTAGCCTCTCAAGTAGCTGAGATCACAGGTGTGCACCACCATGTCCAGCAATTTTTTTTGTACTTTTTGTAGCAGTGGGGTTTCACCATGTTTCACAAGCTGATCTCAAACTCCTGAGCTCAAGCTATCCACACACCTCAGCCTCCCAAACTACAGAAACTACAGGTGTGAATCACTGCACCCAACCACAGTATGGTTATTTAATATAGGTTTTCATTTTGAGTCCTTCCATTTCTTTCTCCTTATGTAAAATTACCATGGCTGTCTTTTGCCTCTTTGCTTGTCCATCTAAGTTAGAAACATCTTTTCGATTTCAACAAAAATCTCCAGTGATTTTGATTGTCACTGCATTGAATTAATTTGGGGAGAACTGTTATGCTTACAATATTAAGTTTTCTAATATGTATACATGGAATCAGTTTTCATTTATTGGGCCTCCTTGATTCCCTCTCCATTACCTTTTGTACATTTGCACATACCCTTTATAACTTTTTATTTTACCATAATATCAGAGACAAGCTGTGAAAATATTGTAAGAAATATAAAATGGACCCAGGTTCATTTGGTATCAATAACTGACTTTCTAATTCTGTATTCCTTCTATAAGTTGGCATTCTGGGTACTATTGATGCAAACAAAACAAACTACCCCCAAACTTAATGACACATGAAAAGCGCAATCATCTGCCTATCATCTCTGCTCTTCTAGATGTTGCCTGAGCTCAGAAAAGCTCCTGCCAAGTTTTCCTAAGGATGCAGTCAGAGGGTGGGTGGGGAAGATGTCATCTCAAAGGTGGTTGACACTGGATACAGGGTTCTCAGATGGGGCTGTTTGCCGATTCATATGGCTACTTGATTCCCTCAACACTTCCCCCACAGGAGTAGACAGAAGTTATGCAGACTAAATAGCCTCTTATAGCCTCACAAGGGAAATAGTGTTACTTCTACTACAGTCACATCCCCACCAAGAGTCAACAGAAATGAAGTGTAAAGCAGTAGGCTTAACAGGAGGAGCGCCAAAATCACACTGTTAGAAGAAACTGCACGATAAGATTTCCTGTCACAGGCATTTTGGAGGATATAAGAGGCATCAATGCACCCGTCACCAAAGCAATTCACATTTCTCCCAAATGCTAAATACTCTCAGCTCCACATGCTCAAGTATTATCCCATGATAGTGGGATAGTGTTAGGGTACCTTCAAAATGATATCCTGTGGGAGTGATATTAGCAAAATGACAGAGTAGGGGATATTAACTTTAATCTGCTCACCTCCCCTCGCACAAAAGAAACCATAAATGCACATACAAAAAGCAAAACCAACAGTTAGACAGCTCTCTAAGAAAGAAAACATCCCTTGGAGACCTCAAGGGTCCAATTAAATAAGTGCAGAAACACAGTGGACAAAAATCCCAGAATTACCATACAGAAAGCATCGCAGGGAGATGGCACATCTGAGAGTTTTGAGACATCTAGGAGCAAAAAAGCAGGAGGCAATTGTTACCAGCCAGGAGGAAAGGCCACTGCAGTCCCCACAGCCTGCTCTGTGGAAGACCCTGCAGCCTTTGCAGCTGAGGACCTCAGTATCCCCCAAGGTAGCTCCACTCTACAGCTTTCCTGATGAAGGTCCCTTAGTGTTCATTGATGAGGATCACAGCAACCTGTTCCACAGAGGACACTGGTGGTTTTGGCACTAAAAATACCTGCAACCATGGACATGTACATCACCCCAGAGAGGAAGATCCTGCAATACCTTCCCTCCACATCCTCCCAAGAAGCAGCCACTGTTGTGCTGCCTGGGATGGGGCTGCCTCCCAGCTCCAACTCTGCATCATCCCAGATCCGAGCTCCATGACCTCATCCTGTGTTGGCAACTCAGACCCCGAGCCACTTCCTTGTAGATCAGCCCCTCCCCAGGCCCAGAGGTGCTGTCACTACAAGAGCACCCACACTCCAGAGCCTGGCCCTGAGGCTGTTCTGAAAATTACCTAAGACATAACATAAATAGAAAATATACAACAACACTGTATAGTGAACTGCAGAGAATAACCACACAGAAAGTGTCTCTGAGAGGTGGCACACCTGAGACCTGAGAACTATTGGCAAATGTGTCGAGAGTAATGAAACATGTTAGTCTATAACACTAAAAAAAAAAAAAAAAAAAAGGAATTTATTCAGGATAAACATCAAGACGTGCATCAGTATACAGATCATAGTTCAAATGCTGAATCACATAGGAAGAGAAAATCTCAAATGTATTAAGAAAAAAACTGGTTCAATTTACCAGAGAAACAGTAATAAAATCCTTGTTTAACTGTTCATGGGACCAATAAAGGCAAGAAGACAGTGAGATTACATATTTAAATGCTGGGTGGAGGGGACTCAATCAAGGATTCATAATCTAGTGAAAATATGCTTCCAAAATAAAGGTAAAGTAAAAACATTTATTGATGAACAAAATGAAGAGAAATGATTTCTTGCAGATATGTTCTATAAGATATTTAAGAGGAAATTTTTCAGAATCACAGGAGATGACAGCAGATAGCTGAATGCACAGAAATTAATGAAGATTTCACAAATAGCAAAGAAAAGAGCAAGAGGCAAGGAAAAAAAAACCCTTGAAGGTTTTTTCAAGGTATCTCCTTCAATTTATATGAAACTCTCGTCCAGGGAAAACCAAGCTATTGTGATGAATATCTGAATTCCAGTTACCTTGAGCGGGATGGGGGAGCAGCTGTTGCCTGGGAAGGTCCACGAGGAATGAATCTGGAGAACTTGAAATATTCTATAGATTCTTTGGGATCAAGAACACACATAAAACTCAGTTGCATATTTAACACTTCAGCCCTTTGCGCTGTGTGTGCATTACCTCAATAAAAAAATTGAAAAAGCTAATTCTAGACTCAAACAAATAAGAACAAAGAAAGAAGAATTATCAATTATTTATGGAATCTCAGCCTTACTAAAGAGGAGTGAAAAATGCACCTGGGAAGAGCTAAGAAACAGGAAATCTAAGAGAGAAGATGAAAGGGACAGGGAATTTATCCTACTCATGCAGCATGGATTTTATCTCTGTTGGTTTCCCTCCAAACAGAGAAGATATTTAAGTTATTTCTCTTACAAGAGAGGCCCCTTCACACCCCCCTTGGCTCTTTCCACCCCACTGCACCCACCAGGGAATTTGCATACTGTCCCCTAGGGAGGACCTTCCCTTGTGAGTCAGAGATAAAGGCTCAGCTCCAATGTTGCCTTAACTGATCAGGACTCCTCAGTTCACCTTCCCACAATGAGGTTCCCTACTGAGCTCCTGGGGCTGCTAATGCTCTGGGTCCCTGGTAAGGACAAAAGGGAGATGAGGGAGGAGAATTGGGTTGGAGGGTGAGCTCTGGGGGCCCCACTGCCTCTCATGTGTGTTCTGTGCATGTGTTAGATGTGCTTACGTTGTCCTCCAGTGTGGGGCAGGTGATGTCCTGATCTGTGAGAGTGAGGAAGATTCTAGAAGAAGCAAGGACCTGTGCCCTAGAGAAACTCTAACTCATGAAGAGGAGGATGAATTCGGGGACTTTTTTGTGCCTTGCATCTGTAGAGTCCTTTCTTGAAATTGAATAAGCTTGAAGTATGAATAAAAGTTGCAAAGAGATTATTAGATTGGTGCAAAAGGAATTATGTTTTGTTTGCAGTTAAAAGCAATGGCAAAACCCGTAATTACTTTTATATATAGGCTGAAATAACAAATAAAAAATTATGAACGTGATATGTAATATTTGTATGTAACCTTGCACTTCTCTCATTATTTCAGCCTCCAGTGGAGATATAGTGATGACCCAGACTCCACTCTCCCTGCCCGTCACCCCTGGACAGCCGGCCTCCATCTCCTGCAGGTCTAGTCAGAGCCTCCTGCATAGTGATGGATACACCTATTTGCATTGGTACCTGCAGAAGCCGGGCCAGTCTCCACGGCTCCTGATCTATTTGGTTTCCAACCGGGCCTCTGGAGTCCCTGATAGGTTCAGTGGCAGTGGGTCAGGCACTGATTTCACCCTGAAAATCAGCAGGGTGGAGACTGAGGATGTTGGGGTTTATTACTGCATGCAAACTCTACAAACTCCTCCCACAGTGCTACATCCTCGAACAAAAACCTCCCTGCTGGATTGGTCCAGCTGCCCACATAGGCTGCTTGTCTGAGGGAGCAGCTGAGCAGAGTCTCTGAGTCTGCAGAAGAGAATGCTGTTGAAGATATCAGGGCAGGGTTTGCTGCTGAGGACACTGGTCCATGACAGCCTCAGTAGCACCTCAGATTTCACATGTTAAGGCCCCACCAGCAGTCACAGCCTGGGGAAGGCATCAGGAGGAGAATTCATGCGGGCCACATGCCCTGGGAGCAACCGGCTATGATGAAGGTAGAATGAATGAAAGCTCCCATCCTCACCGTCCCTGTCTTGCCCACATTTGTCAAGTTCATGCAACTGTCAGAATAACCAGACCATGGATGCAGTTTAGTGACAATATCAGTATGGTAATACATATGGGAAATGACCATCTTGGGGTTTATTTCACCCATGATGACACTTAGTCATACTGGGAAATTCATAACTCTCCCATCTTCCTAATTCTTCTCTATGACTCCCACTAAACCCTCCTCTCCAGTGTCTTACAGGTAAAAGCATTCTACAAAAGGGGAGTACAGCTAACATTTAGAAAAAATGTTTGATGTTGGATTATTCAAACAGACTTTGTAAACTCATGGCAGGTATGAGATCTTAATGTCAAAAGATTGATTACTCTTAATTGGTATTTGCCAAGTGAAAACAGAGTTTTCACAATTCCAAAAGTGGCCTTTGAAAATAAACTGCATAAACTCAAAGATGGAAAATATAAAGTTTATTTCAAGTAAAAAAGGGAACATTCAGAATTATGTGAGATTTTTATTTCTCTTCTATATTCTAAAGGTTTTGAAATAATTTAGGCTAAGTTCTATTTTAGAGTAGAAATTTATTACTATGTTTTCAAAAGAAAATGTTTCAAAGAATACAGAAATGCATTCTTTTCACGTAACTATATCATTACCTGAAAATGAATCTGAGTTCTATGTTTCAGTTGTAAATGCATGAAGCATCGATCCTTTTCATAGATTTTATTAAATATAGTGTTCTAAATGATATTGAACCCAATAATGAGTCACATGAGCTACATATAATAATACCGTGTGATAGACATAAAATAATGACAGAATCAACAGAAGATCTGCTTCAGGCTAAGGGTAGAAAGTATACTTGGATGATTGTTTATTCCAAGATAACAAATTTCACGGTAAGTACAATTAAAATTCCAAAGTTCCACTTCTGTTAGGTTTAAAAATTGTATGGCAATATTTATATAAATATCAATCACACTGAAACCCTCAAATGAAGAAAAAAAGTGACACCATATGTTTTTAAAATACCGAGAAATGAATCATTGAGCTTAAGAGCCATTATACGTAATTCAGTTAAGGAACACAAAGTGTATCGGGGCACACTGACTCACGCCTGTAATCCCAACACTTTGGGAGGTCAAGACGGGTGAATCCCCTGAGGTCAGGAGTTCAAGACCAGCCTGGCCAACATGGTGAAACCCTGTCTCTACTAAAAATACAAAAATTAGCCAGGCGTGGTGGCATGTACCTGTAATTCCAGCTACTCAAGAGGCTGAGGCAGGAGAATCGCTTGAACCTGGGAGGCAGAGGTTGCAATGAGCTGAGATCAAACCATTGCACTACAGCCTGGTTAACAGGGTGAGACTCTGTAAAAAAAAAAAAAAAAAAAAAAAATGCAAGTAGAATGACCCAGAGGTAAATAACGATATCGTCATCCTTAGCCCTCATGTAATTGATAGCCTCTTGCAACCTTGAATTTCTGCTTTGCTATGAGACACAAGATTAGACCCAACCCATTCAAGATGGTTAGATATCTTAAACAAACAAACAAACAACTTGTGCAATGCTGATGTAACAAAGGGCTACACTCTCAAAACAAAATGGTGAAGGGTAAACGATCCCCTAAACCTGAGAGAAGATACAAGCAGAATCAAAATGCATGGGTACAAAGAAGCCTCTAGTTGCAGTTGACCAAATGTGACAAGGTTTCTGTGTCTGTACCATGGCAGTGCAGAGGCAGGTGGGTGGCCTTGGTGGTGTCAGAGACTCTGGTCCATGAGGTCACTCAGGTGGGGAGGAGGCATGACCACCCTTAGCACACAGTTTTCCTCCTTCCTTATGGTCGCTGCCCCCACGCTCATCCTCAGAAGCATGAGTGGAACAGAGTGAAGCGAAAGCTGTTTTCTTCTAAAGATCAAAAATCTTGAACTTGCAAATGGAAATAAATGTTATTTTTGCTCCAAGTACACATTTGAGAAATCTTCCATTGAGTGCACCTGATGATAAACCCATATTTTTTGTATGCTTTAATCTGAAAATGTATTTGTATGATCCTTGGAAATAATTTTTGAGTATAAATTATATTTTAGAAGCTTATTTCAAGTTGTTATTTAGCATATGATAATTACTCCCAAAATGTCATCGATTTAAAAACAAATCATCTGTTGCTCTAACTGTCCTCCACTGAAAGTAATTTCTCTATTTAACCTCATCAGATTCCTTTTAAGCTCTGAAACTCATCTTATTTTTTTTTACTGATTTGATACGTTAAGTCTATTACTTATGATAAATTTATTTATGTAATTATTTCGGTATCACAAGTAGAAAAAGCCTATAAACTGTTATGCCAAAAACATGCCTCTAGATGGCAAGCAAACCCCACAATACACAAAAGACAGCCAAGTTCTTAGACACCCTGGGAAAGGAAGAGGGCTACAGTCCCATTAACAAGTTGGAGCCCTTAAGGCGAGAATTAGGTGGAACATCTGGAACATCTGAGAGGAGACACCAGGCTGCGGAGGAGTGGGGAACCTGCTTTGTGCTCTGAGACTGAATGCCCAGCCTTGCCTCTCACCGCTGCCTTGACTGTGTCCCCATCTGCTGTGAAGTGAATGGTATCTTCTAAATTCATGCTGAAGCCCTAATGGCTGAAAAGTGTAAGACATGGAATGTGGAGATTATGTGCATCTTCCTGACACCAACATGATGCTCAGGAAGGAGACTCTTGTTTTCTCTTAGGATTCTTTTACTAACGAAGATTTTGCCTCTACTGCACTTTTCCCTTTCCTGATTGTCCCTCTCTATTGACAGAGATGGCCCAGGGGATTCACTACTGAGTCTCCAACTCTTACCCAAAGCCCTGAGTCTAGGGTTGCTCTTTTCCTTCTTGTTATTTTTGTTTGTTTTCTTGTTATCATCCTGGCAACAAAATAAATCACCTTTTTGTTTCTACCTATTAAAGATGTTACCTTAGTTAATTACAGTGGTTTCCTTCAGTATGATAAATGATCTTTCAAAATGATGTAAAGAGATCCAAATCCATGTTCTTCAGAAGTTGCATGAAGCTCTATCTAGCATGAGTGCCAGTGACTCTCCCAGAGTGCTCCATGCAACTGGCCCCAGAGAGTCCCTCTGTGCTGTCATATCACCCACTGCCTTCTGTGAATGAGATATTCTGATTAATATCCTGGTGGATACTCTTTGAGCCAGCGCCCACACAACTCCCATGAAAGCTGAGGACCACAGGCCCCTGAAGACAATCACAGGTCTCTACATTCACAGCTCATGACTGTCCTCTGCAGACACGGCTTCTCCCGAGATGACTGAGGGTAGTCATTGGCTGTGTCCTTCCTTGTGCATGACAACAGGAGACACAGAAGGTCTGTAAGCAGCCCTGCAAGCCAGGTTCCTAGCAAGCCTTCCTGTGTGGGGCCCTCTTCCTTGGACATAGGTATGTAAACCAAAAATGAAACTCTAAGCTCCCTGGCCAACTGAACGAACTCCTCCTCTCAGCCAAGAACACACCAAAATCAACCTGAAATACAGTACAGTGCATGATGGGAATGGATGATTGGATATGCCTTAACTTACCCTCTTCCCTTTAAAATTCAGACATAACTGATCATCGCTTAATATTAAGACAGAGACCTTGAGACTGACAAAGCAAACTGTCTGTTGCAATAAGATACCAACACGACAGATGCCAGGCCCGAGGAGAAATCAAAGTATTTTCCCCAAGATATTGTTATTTGGTGTATTTTAAAAATGCCTCTGCAAAGCTGTTTCTTGTGGGAAAAATCTGCATTCGGTAGAGATTCCCAACCCTTTTAAGTGTCTTTCCTGACCCAGAACAATTTAACTGATTTAATTAAGTGTTTGGCACCTTTTACTACAATCTATTCTTGCTGAAGCATCATCTTCATGATGAAACGTTGGCTCCAAAACCCTTTTTTTAGACCCAGAAACTCCCTTCTGTTGATTACAGGTCATTAGATAAACTCTTTCCACTGTCTATGAAATCTTCGAATCCACCTGTGACCTGGAGGTCCCCAACACGCCCCCTCCTTCAGGCTGTCCTGCCTTTCCATATCAAAGCAATGTACAGCTTACACATATTGATTGATATCTTATGTCTCCCAAAAATGTGTAAAATCAAGCTGTAGCCCGACCACCTTGGGCACACGTTCTCAAGACCTTCTGAGGCTGTTTCACTTGTATGTCTTTCACTTTGACCAAATAAATTTCTAAATTGATTGAGACTTTTCTCAGATACTTATGTGTTTATAGGTATCACTGTATACACTTAAGGAAGTGAAGTGATTTATGACCTTGAGAAAATGAGGAAGACAAGATGTGTGGGGAGAGAGAGAGAGTGAGAGAGAGGGTTTGAGCTTGTGATGTGTGTATAGGACTAAAACTGAGACCTTGATCTATCACGGTGTAGTACTGAGTATCATCCCCAAATAGTGAGGTTTCATTCCAAGAAGCATATGCCTGTATCTTATTTGGGAAACGGGCTTTTGCAGGTATAAATTAAGGAACTTGAAACAGGGAGATGATGTTAGATTAATCAAGTGGGCCCTAAATGCAAACACAAGAGTCCTGAGAAAAAAAGAGGTAGAGAGACATTTACCATAGACTGAAGAGAAGAAGGCAATCTGAACACAGAGATAGACATGGCAATAATGTGTCCACATCCAAGGAGAGCTGGAGCCACCAGAAGCTGAAAGAGCTAAATCAGACTCCTTCCTAGAGCTTCTGAAGGAGCTAGAACCGATGTCTCCAAGATCTTAGCCCAGTGAAACTGATTCTGGACTTCTGGTCTCCAGAACTATGAGAGATTCCATTCCTGTTGTTTGAAGCTACCACATTTTTGAGAACTTGTTACAGGAGCCCAAGGACACTAACACAAATGGGGTTCTGGGAAAATCCAGACTACAGGTGCTGTGGTGGTTTTTCAATCTCCTTGCTTAACTTTCTGATATCAGACATAGATAGATTGGTGAAAAATTTTGTGATTGAAGAAATGCACATGAAACCTACAGTGTACAGAGAGGCATCTCTTAGTTATAAGATGAATATTGATAATTTTAGTTGAAAATGACATGACTGGTAGTATCTCACATAACATTCTGAGTTACTCAAGGATGCATAAAAGGGGCACTAGATACTCTTCTCGTGTGTGTGTGTGTGTGTGTGTGTGTGTCTGTCTCTACATGTATGTTTACTTCATGGTGCATCAGCTGGTGGAACCCTC